TCGAACCACGACGGGTCGAACGATGAATTAAACCTTCCTATCAGATCGCGGATGAGGAAGAATCCTGGCGTGACTGGGCTTATATAGAACATGAGTACCATAGAGATGAGCCAGGTCGCATTGGACAAGGCGGTCTAGACATATTTCATTTGGTACCTAAGAAGACTGGCTCCTTTACTCTAGACTTTAAATACAAGAGCTCATGGGATGAAGCCAAAGAAAAGCACGTTACCTTCCGCGTGGACAACTGCTGACGTAGAAAACTGTGAAGGTCATTGCTGGGTTGTATAGCTCGCTGGTTATAAGACTGACGTAGGTTGTCATCTCCTGAAGGTCCGGTCGCACTCGGTATGTCAACAATCGGGTTTTTCCCCAGTAAGTAGCGTAATGCATGCCGCCCGTAGCACCTAGTATAGGCCTAGTATAGGCCTAGTATAGGCCTAGTATAGGATCTCTGTGACTAAAGTATGATGTACATAAATACGCGTTGTACTGTTGCTTTGACTATGAATCGCGGTGTGGTCTCACCTGGATGAATCGGTCAGGTTACGGAGATGATGCTAAGAGACCTTATGCCAGTGAAACAAGCAGCAACGATACTTGTGAAGTGCAATACAGCCTTGGTTGGATTTAAGCAAGTCGTTCCACTGTATACCAATGGCAATGTACCAGCGCAGATTGATCTCGTTGACAACCAATCTTGCCGAAGCCATTACCTCCTGATACCTACACTCCTCTACAGACGGCGCTTACCGTTACATCAGTTTCTATCCGTCCGGTGGTATCCATCCGGTGGTATCCATCCGGTGGTATCCATCCGGTGGTCTGTGTGTCAGTTGTGCGGAGATTATAGCAGGGTCCCAGTAATTACTGAACATGCGGAACAAAAATGTGCGACTCAAATACGTGAAATTATGGACGAGCTAGTACGACCCCTTTCGCTCCCAAATCCCCTGTTCCCCTGTTCATGACGTGAGTTATGCTAGATCAAGACGAGATCAATGGACGACGAGCGTGCCATATCAATTATCGCGTCCGTGATTAATTCGGGTGACACGGAAATAATTGGTGAGTTTAAAAGGGGAGTCGGAGAACTAGCCGACGCGATCCTCCACTCGGAGGCGTACCGTCGACGATTGGAGGTATGCAACGGAATCCAGAATACCTCGGAGGTATGGCATTGTGATCAGTGGGGAAGCGTGCTCAAGATGTTGTCCGCCGGGGGTACAAACGCGGTACAAATTGGTTCTTCGGCCGTACGTCCATTGTCCGGGTCCGCAGGCCTGTCGTCGACGAGGCCAGTCCCTCTCGCCGTGGCTGCAGTCGAGATCGAGAAGAGACCGGTTGCAGTCAAGGTCCACCCAAATAAATCTGTGGACGCGGCGGTCTCGGCCAAGGTCACCAAGTTCAAGGCCCAGAGTGCGAAGGCGAGGGCCGATGCTGAGAAAACGTTGGCCGCACTGGTGTCTGCTTCAGAGATGGTCTCAGCTTCGACCAAGGGGTCTGCGGGCGGTGCGGCTCCGGCCGTCCCGACAGCAGCTCAGGTCGTCAGGGCGTCCCGGATTCCCGTTCGAACCAAGACGGTCGCGGACGTTTTGGAGGCCCCGAAGTACCCCTCTGGGGTGCCTCTGCCAAACATCACCTCAACAAAAACGGTAGCCACACCGAACAAGGACGGGGCTGCATTGTCGAACAACCACCAAGTACTATCAAAACCAGAGAGACTGCCGCCAAGAAAGGTTGTTTCGCCACAGGACACCGCTGCACTACAGGCTGTGACCCAGGCGCCGGTCGACGCTGTGATTGCGTCCGAGGATGTGACAACAACCGAGGATGTGCCTGCGCCTGCTCAAAAAAGGATCTCGGGGAAGATTGAGCGGCTTCTGCGGTGGGACAAGAAGCTGCAATACAACCCCCTCTTGCCTTCTCACGCACCTGTAGTGGAGCGACAGACGTGCGTAGTGGTCAACAACCACCTATGTCACATATTGTCCGAAGCAGTCACAGAGAAAGTTCCACTCTCCAAAAACTTCGTGGTGAGATCGGTCACCACCTTAGCGGCGAAGGATCCGGATGGGCCAGTACCGCGCACGATGGTGCTCTCGTCGTTTGCCCTGGAATGGGTCAAATCCACATGGCTTCAAAAGAAGGTACAAAATACCGCAACTACCGAATGGAGACGGAGTCTCAACTCCACCAGAACCAACCTAGCCGAGACCACCCCTTCATGACATCCACACCACTCCACCGGCCCCACTCCAGTTTTTACCATAACCTCCAATTGTACCCCACTCCTATTGTACCCCACTCCTATTGTACCCCACAACTAGCTTCGGCGCTTGAACGAAAGCGCAATGTTTGGGCTGCTTTTTCAAAGCCCACTTCTTGAACGGTTTCTGCCTCTCCCTCGGGCATGCACGGCCTCCGCCTCGTACAGGGCCGATCCTTGGAGTAACTCCGTTCTGGAAGAGCGCGAGTCTTCTGGCTATACCAGGTAGAACCTAATGTCGTGAGCGAGGGAGGGGTAGTTTGGATAACAATGATCCCATGCGACTCAGAGGATTTAGACTCGGAACAACGACCGCCTCCGAAGCTCACTTCTATCACTAGATTATCGACGTTTTCTCTATGTTGATTCTAGGCTCTCATCGAAATAAATGTTCCCCGCAATCCACGATACGTATGTCCCTACGTTGTGTGCATAAAAAATTGTGGAGGCAGGTTCCACACAGGCAGCACACACATCTTTCCACACGGGCAGCCCACGCAACCTTCTGGAGTACCATACCCTATGTTTATCATCACATCAACCAGTACCGTCAATAGTACCGTACCGCCCATGAATTGTTTGTTACGTGTATTGTCAGCCGACGGATTGAGGAATGCTAGATATAGAAGATCTAGCTCCTCACCTTAGTTCGGTATTTTATTATTGGACCTGTTTTGAAGATTTGTCTCAACAAGGTATGAGTAAATCCCTTCGAAGGTCCCAGCCGTCTTCTTCTGGACGGGTATCTAGTCGTGTATCTAGTCGTGTGGTTATCATACCGTTCTTCAGTTGCATGTCACACGAGCATGTTATATGCTACATGCTTTTTTTACAGCCGACTCAGATATCCCCCACGGTAATAGAGGAGCGGATAACCAGGAACATTCTTCAAAAGTTGTAAAGATAACCACAAGTGTGGCCATCCATGCTTCTGTAAACTCTGGCGTCCTTTATCATCCCGGTCGGGAACAACCTGGATGGATTGTGTTTTTTTTAAAAATAAAATTTTGCCGAAGTCCTCCTCCACCGTCCTGTCTCATAAGTCCTCCAGGGATGCTCATAGCTTTGGTCCCTGGGGGAGGGACCATGGGGGTTGATGTTTTGTCAACCCTCTTAACTTCAAGCAAAAAGATAGTGTTGAAGTTGAGGTCTGAACCTGCTCAGGATTTCGGCCAGCTCTTGTTTGTATTGGTCTATTTGTCCGTTTGATACGATTCGGAAAGATGAGTCATAGTCGCAAAACTCGGACACGGTGTATTCGCCATTGCAATCACGAAGGGTGATAGTGAATTCAAGCTCGAAGCCAAGCTTTGGTCGTCCCCTAATGAAGACGATTGACGCCCGACTGCTACTCGGCTCAACCACGACTTCTTCAACCTGAGGCACTCCGTCTTCTCCAGTGTCATCCATCCACCTAAGCAAACATGTGGCGAAGTCTTCTGCTAAACGACCCGCCACATCTCGCTCTTCCCAAGTCGCACCTGAATTCCAGGACGACGGAAACCTCCAGGGCTTGGCTTTGCGATCCTCTCCACTCATCCCCTCGTCCCAGCCTTATTTTTTTCCCCCACCAAGTCCGGCTAGAAGAGAACAAAGCCAAGCCCTGGAGAACAAACACAGGGAGAGGGAATCTATCCCAGTCAGAATGTAATCTGTCACAAAAAACCGAAGGCTTGCGCCTCCCGCCAGTTGGCAACCTGCTTAATGAACGCATCCCTTACGGAAGCAGCACCGAACCTGAGACTCAGATTTACACCCTGCGTATGTGTCGGTGTTGGTGGACCTAGGATTACACAACAACGATTGGCTGAAATCGGCTCTCCCTTTTGCGCCGCAACCTCGAAAGCAGAGGAGCCAGCGGTGCCCGGAGTCACTGTAATAATGCGTGCAATCGCAATATTGTACGGATAGGTGGGGTCTTCTACATCCTTCACATTTTCTTCCACAGTCAATGTCCTCCATTCGAAAGACCTAGCGCGGAAACGTGTTACACGGAAATATGTTGCACACGTGTGTGTGTTGCACACGTGTGTGTGTTGCACGTGTGTGTGTGTTTGTTGCACACGTGTGTGTGTGGCGGGTGGTGGTGTGAACGTACGTGAGATCGTGGCTGGACTGCCAGAAGAATTGGTACTTGAGCCCGTCGGCTTCGTAGAGGTCTGCTCGTCCACCCTTGCGGAGAGCGGCGCGTTGGTCAAGGGGGAGGCTCATGATGCCGTCGGGGAACGGGTCAACGTGCCAATCGGTGAGGGCGAAGGGGTAGTCTGGTAGCAGGAGGTTATGCATGACGCGGATGTCTTTTTCTTTGAAGGCACGTTTCGCGCTCCCTTTTTCAGCACGACTAGTTAGTCTTGAGGTGGCGGGTTCGTTGATGGGACTAACCTCGACATCAGATAGCATGCCCATGCCGTCCTCTTTCGGTACGAAGGAGCCCTGAGTCATGAGGAAACGTTTGTAGTTTCTAAGACTCATGATCCAGTATGCGTTGGTCTTGGTGCCGTCAAGTGAGTCCATAAAATCTTTTATCTTCCGGTAGATAGGGACGTCCGCAAGCAGCGCACAAAGGTCGGGGTTCCCAAAGGCGCAGAACACGAGTCCGTTAAGCAGTGCGAAACACTCGGTAATTGTTTTGTCGTCGTTCCACATGTTCTGGAACACGTCACCTACGATGTCGATCACACCCTCTGGCTCCGTTTTACGTCCTCGGCCGAAACCACGTTTCGTCGCACGGTCTTCCTCCTCCGTCTTTTTTTCCCGTTTGAATGCGTCCCACACACTCTTCCGCCTTTGCAACGTTTTCGGTCCGCTGTCAACCACCTCCTCCGGCGCAGTCTGTCGTAGGTTCACTGGTTCCTGAGTCACTGGGTCCACATCCACGTCCAGCCGCCGGAGCAAGGTGGTAATGCAGATCCTTTCGTTGGCGACCCACGCCAAAAATCCGATTCCGACCTTGAGAAGCCGCATGTTCCGGTTAGCTCGCGGGTCACCTATTTGGCGGCGTACAGCCTCGACTAGCTCATTCATCCGTCTGGTCATGCCAAGCTCTTCCCAGATGCGTTGTTCTCTTTCTTCCCGGTATACCTGCGCCCCCAACTCCGTTCGCCATGCCGGTTTCGTGGGGTCTGAATAAAAGTATCCAAGAGGGTTATTACCGGCTATGATCGACTGCAACTCGCTAGCTCCCCAGCCGTCGGTCAAGAACGGGTCACTCTCATCTGCTACGTGCGTTGCGGCTAAGACCGGATAGTCTTCGGGTTGTTTAGCATCTGGTCCCCTCAAATGCGCGATGGTCGCTAAAATCACTCTCAGACATTCATAACTTAACATTTGCTGCTTCAAGTCCATCGACAACACATCCATGGCATGAGTAAACACACCCGATTGGATGCATAATTCCGCTGCAGTCTTGCTCTTTAGCAAACGGTGTGCACACCTCATACCTGAAACAGGCATTTGCGACAATTGCAAAATCGCCAGATTTTGATCATCCGCACTCTTCACACCATTGCCGTCTTCCTCCAACTCACCAGGGTCACGTTTCGATTTTGATGCAGTCAATTGCATCAATTTTTGCTTGTCCTTTTTGACGGAAAGTTTGAACTCCTTCAGACATCGGTCAAGTACAGCGAAGACCTCGGCGTCCAATAAGACCCGCACATTTGGCTCGTGCGTGGTCTGGATACCTAGCACGTGGATAACGGACGCCCACAGATGTGTGTTCTTGTCGAGATACGGCAAAACCTCGAAGATTGTTTCCACGCCCGCATTACGGCAAAAGACTTGCGCATTCTCCGGCAGTCTGCATAGGTTGGCAAGAGTGTCGAATGCCCATTTATGGATGTTGGAATAGTCATGGCGTTCTTTCCGAAGTAGGGATAGGAACGGTACAATAACAATTTGGAATATTTCCATATTGTCTCGCTCAATCGCGAGGTTGCTGAGTGTTCGGAGACTAGATTCGACGGTGGTAGCATCTAGTTCGTCGTCAACCTGGCCTAGGAAGCTTGCAAAGGCTCGATCAATGCGCGCATCTAGGAAACGTTGCATGTTGTCTTGGTTGAGTGCTAGATTGCCGATCGCGCGGAATAAAGAAGCGATATTACGCGAGCTCGACAGGCCACCTTCAGACTCATAGAGTTGACAGGCTGTTGTCAATGCGGCACACGCGCCAGCTGCGCCAAGCGAGCCCTTCATATCTGGGTTCTTGAAACAAAGATTACATACCAGAGCTGAGGCGCCATTAACCGAGCTGCTGTCGTTAAAGCTACCGCGAACATTAATCAAATCCACCAACAAAAATACACCACCATGCTTTTGGAACCGGCGAATGTTCGGTAAGTGAACCACCACGAGCGCAGCCAAGGCCAAACAACCGTTCGTGATCGTCTCGGAGACGTAGGCGCCCTTTTGCTTGTAGGCTCGCTTAATGAGAGATACGATCGAATCCACCGCCTTGTACTCACAGTACAAATCTTTAAGCAGCTTACCGCTTTCCAACTTATGCCCCGCGGTCGACCCAATGAGGTACAGGACATCTGAGAACGCCGCAGGCGGTGTCTCTGTGTCGACCACCAATCCGACAAGTCTCAGTGGCACATTCTTCCGAAAGAGCTCAGCGAAGTTACTGGGATTCGCAAGCTTGCGTAATGCCCGCATCACATGCTCCAACATATGAGAAACAAACTGCTGCTGGTCAAAGTCCACTGTGTCGCAATCGAAGGCAGCGCTCTCCATTCCTGTGCTACGCAGCTCTACATCGCTACCCAAACTAATCTTACGTGCAATGGCCTGCACATCCACCGTGTCTGGTGCCATGCTCGCACGGCGCATCAAGTAACTGGCCTTCTCCTTCTCATCCTTTTCCTTGATCACCGCTGTTGGTTCCGGTGTCTTGCGCGCAAAAAAGGACGCCCGTCTTTGAATCGGCGCCGTCGCCGCTGCGCACCCCAGGCTTTGGCGCCTCGCGTGGGCGATGCTGACGTTCGCTGGCAATGGCGACTTGGTTGAGTCGCGTTTCGGCGAAGGCGTTGCCATGAACATTTGGGAGGCGCGCCGGATGAGTCCGCCCGATTGCTGGTCGGCGCCAACCGCGCCGGCACTGCCTTTGGCGGGGCTCCCCTGGCCCAAGGCGTCCGGACTGACAACGCTCTTACGTCGTTCCAAAGGCGAGGCCTTTTCGGGCGCGGGCGGCGACACTACGGACCGTCGCCTCTCGAGCGGCGTGGCTGCCGTGGAGGGCGCCAGATCGCTGGACGCGTCCGACAGGTCGGAGCCATTCCGTTCTTTGCGCCGGAAGAGTTGACTGGCTCGGCGCGCGAGCGAAGCACGTCGGCCAAGTTTGTTGGGGCTCTTTGTCTTGCGGTCGCTTTTCTGGAGCGCCTGGAGATCTGCAGCCGAGTGCACACGCAGCTTCCCGTAAAAATAATAGTCGTAATCGTTCCACGCTTCCAAAACCTGTTCCAGGGCATCCGTATCGTTGTATGTCTCCACCGTCAAAGCCGTTCGCTCTAGCAATTGAACTCGCGGCCCCACCAGGTCTTCGACATCATCATAGACGCACTCTTGCGTACAAGCACGGGCACGCTCCACCATCGACACCAACAACTTCCGCTTCGCGTCTGTAGAAGCCAACTCCTCCGCAAACTCAGCGTACTGAGCCAACTCCAAACTCGTCAATACCGCGTGCTGCGCCACCTGCTCATCCCTCTGCCGATGCATTGCACCCAGCAATAAATTCACCACACCCGCCTTAGTCATCGCCGCACGGTTACTCTCACATCCACCCAAGATCTGCAGACACATACAGCCAAACATAAACTCAGAACCTTCATTGCTAGTCACACTAATGTCTTGATCACGACCATACTCACTCGTTTTCCTTACCAAAAACCGCCACAGCCTTCTCACCGGACGATCCTACAACAACACCATAGCAAGCGAGCTCCCCCCGGAACCTCCCCGGAACCTCCCCGGAACCTCCCCGGAACCTCCCCGGAACCTTCCCGGAACCTCCCCGGAACCTCCCTCGATTAGATTGACCTGATTTGATCTTAGATATTGGTCTCAAAACACGTGTGCACGTACTTCCTTAATCTCGAGTGACTCCTCGTTGTTCAGCTTCTTCATGAGGTAGCCATAGACATCACGAAGCGTTAAAGCATCGGCTTCCTCCTGCGTCATAATTTTAGACTTGCAAAAATGCGGGCTCATGCCTCCACCACACCGCCTCGTAAAGGCGTTTGTCGTCGGGTAGCCTCGTTAGTGAACGAGTGCGTGGCACCATCGCCGCTGCAGGACTGCGCACCTCGCCAAACGAACATCCGAGAGCATAAAAAAGTTCGGAGATTGAACAACGAAGGAAACGAACAAGCACCGGACCACCATGTCGCCAACCATACCGGACCTGACAACTTCTCCGTCCTGGACAACCAACCGAGACCGGCTAAGGAATCGACCATGCATAGTGATCATAAAACCGCTGGCGCTAAAGAGAATGCCCGCCCTGTCTCAGAACGAAACGAGCGGGGTAGTGGAGACACTGAACAAGCAAACGGGGGCAAGCCGACTTCTAGTCAGTCCAAAGCTAATTCGGTAGAGTATTTGGGTGACAGGGAAGAAGACAAAGGTGACAGGGAAGAAGACAAAGGTGACAGGGAAGAAGAAGCTGAAGGATGGTCGACGGAGAATAAAGAGCACATCAAAGAGCAAGGCAAAGAGCAAGGCAAAGAGCACGGCAAAGAGCACGGCAAAGAGCACGGCAAAGAGCAAGGCAAAGAGCAAGGCAGTCATGAACAAGGCAGTCATGAACAAGGCAGTAATATTGTTGATATATTCAGAAATGGACGACCACCGAAACCACGACGGCCTACAGTGGGTGCTGAGCCGGCGGATAAGTCCACGGAGAAGACGAAGTTCGACACTTCAGACTACCAGATGTTCGACAAACTCCCGAACGAAAAAAAGGATCGGTTATACTTCGTGGCTCGGTTGAAGCCCTACATCTCGCCGAACTCTACAGTTCTCGACTATCTCGCGAGAATAGATTTAATCAAAGTTGATAAACTAATGATTCTTCATCGGGCTCTGTGGCAAGCGTCATCCCAGCCGTGTCCTGAAAACTATTCCGAACAGTTTTCGGGGTTCGGGAATAACCACAAGGCGGTCGCGAACCCGGTGGTTGTGAACCCGGTAGGTGCTAACCTGGTAGGTGCTAACCTGGTAGGTGCTAACCTGGTAGGTGTGAACCCGGTAGGTGTGAACCACTCAGTTTCCGACACAAGCCGGACCGGATGTAACCAAGTAGTCAACGCCAACGGGACGAGCTCGGGCGGGATGGAGGGTCAGCCGCAGCGAGTGGACGGTCTCGATGTTCCCTCGGGTACGAGCGGAGTCCGCTACATACCTGGGCGACCGACTGATATGCATGCGAGTCAGAATATGGTATACCGCACCCAGCCCGTTCTAATCAGTGAAGTCCATGGCAGTCAGCACCAGGTCAGCGGCAGTCCGGTGCCACAGGAGGCGTTCCGTTGTCGCGGGTGCGACTGCCATGGGGGCGACTCGCGTGTGTGTGCAGACAGCAGCGTAGACGAAATCGCACATGACCGGCGGTGTAGTGATGGCGAGGTGGCTTTACGAGAACGAACGACAGTGGCGGGAGTCAAGCGACGCAGCCACCCTCTGGAAACGGGTTCGAAGCGGGTGCGTGAGGACCCGGGCTCAGTCTTTTCCTTCGGCGAACGAACGGACAGCGCGGTCCACGATATGAGTCGTGGACAGGACGCTCGCGGGTTGTGTAATCGGGTGGGAGTATTTGCAGCGGCGGAGGGGACACCTTTACCTTTGACACGGAACACGGACGCGACTCTGGTGTTTGACTTTGCGACTTCGCTGCCTTCCAGCAGGTCCCGGTACTCAGGAGAACAGCCGCCACCGCCGGCACCGCCGCCATCCGCTCCAACGGTGTCGCTCAAGACGGAACCGGGTCTGCTAGACTTCTTAGCTTTCGTGCGCGAGAAGTGTTATTCATATGAGCAGATAAAACGTTTGTGCGAAAATGAAGGCGCACTGGACGGCTGCATTCAAACCCCCTTTTCTAATCTCGGCAAGCTAAAATACCTTAGTACTATTATGAACGAATTAGGCAACAAGTTGGAAAGCAGCTTCAGCGACTTTTCAGCACTTCAACCTCGCAGAGCATCACAACTCACCCAGATCACTAAGGCCGAGAAATTCCTACGACGCTGCATAATCATCAAACTCGCTGCCGATGTCAGACAATGCGCAGAATCAGAACTCACCAAATTCATCGCCCACAGAACATCCCACGACCTCAAGAAACGCATACCAAACACTCCATTAAGTATACACGCATTTACATGTTTGACGCGTACACACACTTTGCCACTTTGCCATCCCACAGCCAGTTGCCCTACACACACGTTGGCATCCTATCCCACAGCCAGTTGCCCTACACACACGGCCGTCGCTTGATAGAACTGGAAAGCTTAACCGTGTGGATACCACGACGAGTGGCCCGTATTGTTTTGGAGTCAATGACCCCTCCACTGGGAACCTTAACTGCTGACATACTCACATCTGGGACTCTCGCTTCTGGTACTATTGGAGACCGATTGGAAAATAAGGAGTCGTTGCAGGTCTTACTAAATCGTTACTGGATATTGAAGAAGCGAAATCAGATGCTGGAAAGTGTGCTCAAATCTCCTGTGGACTTTCAGAAGTTCCTGAAGGAGCGCCTCGCAAGTCTGGAAGAATCCATGAGCCAGAAGATGGAAGAGAAGAGAATGGATCGACGATCAGTGTTTGAAGATGACGGTATCGATTCCTTTATAAAGAGGTCAATGCAGGAAATCCGGAATGTAAGAATGTCCCTTTATACTTCCATCCCATCTCATCTTGTCCCTTGTTCCCCC